CCATTTCACTGTTGTGAAACCTAGTCCATTGTTCCTATTTTACTCCATGACTGGCAGGTGCCCTATAAGAAATTCAGTATACTGGGGCTGGAGCAGTAGCACAGCAGGTAGGGCATTTGCCTTGCACACAGCCAACATAGCCAACACAGGTTCGATTCCCAGCACCCCATATGGTCCCCTGAGCACCGCCAGGAGCAATTCCTGAGTGCATGAGCCAGGAGTAACCCCTGAGCATCGCTGGGTGTGACCCAAAAAGCAAAAAAAAAAAAAAAAGAAAAGAAATTCAGTATACTAATAGAGTTATCAAATAATTCCGCTAAATAAAATGTAAACTTCTAAACTAAATTTCATATTTTACTGTAACAAGCATCAAATCATTGCTGAATAGGTCAACGTGTATGAAAAGAGACTTTGTCCTGGACAACCACTGTACAATTCTTAACTACGGGTTCAAATTTTGAAGAATTTAATTTTTGTTTCATAATTCATCCACTACTTAACTACTAGCACAGTGGTAGGGCGTTCGCCTTACACGCGGCCAACACGGCCAACCCGAGTTCGATTCCTCCACCCCTCTCGGAGAGCCCGGCAAGCTACCGAGAGTATTCGATATGCCAGACACAGTAACAACAAAGTCTCCAATGGAGACGTTACTGGGCCCACTCGAGCAAATCGACGATCAACAGGAGGGCCTTTTTACCTTTTACTTAACTACTAAATGACTGCTCGGTTACAGAGCAGGGAAGGGACCTTCCATTCATGTGGCTGATTGATTTTAGATCCTGGTTAAATTCAATGCATAGTCGAACATGAGCACTGTTTGAAGAGTTACTGAGCACAAAGCTAGGAGTAGTTTGAAAACACCTATGGCTATGAACACACACAAGCACATATACAGGAGTATTGATTACACATATAATACTTTCCCATTCACCAATTCCTAAGCCTGATTTTTATTTATTTTGCTTTTTGGGTTACACCTGGCGACGCACAGGGGTTCCTCCTGGCTCTGCACTCGGGAGTTACTCCTGACTCTGCACTCAGGAGTTACTCCTGGCGGTGCTCAGGGGACCATATGGGATGCCGGGAATCGAACCTAGGTCGGCCGCGTGCAAGGCAAACGCCCTACCCGCTGTGCTATCTCTCCAGCCCCCTAAGCCTGATTCTGCATGACTCACAAAATTAGTTAAACTAATGTGATTCACTTACTTTCTAGCTGACTCCTGTAACAGAATACATGAACAGTTGGAGCTACTCCAGCAATTGGAAGTTCAATGCAATGTAAATAAAAACCAGGGCTAGAACAGTCCAGCTGGGAGGTAACTGACCCAGGTCCCATGGTTCGAACCCCAGAGGCTTCCCTGAGCCCAGTGAGGCGTGATCTCTGAGCAGTCAGGCATAAGACCTCAGCACTACAGAACCGTGCCCCAGAAAACAGATCAGTTACACAAAACATTATGGCATATAAATATTAAGGCCCAGTGATTTCTGAGCATTATAATTTTTTTTGCTTTTTGGGTCACACTGGCGATGCTCAGGGATTACTCCTGTCTCTGCACTCAGGAATCATCCCTGGTGGTGCTTGGGGGGGACCATATGGGATGCTGGGAATCGAACCCGGGTCGGCCACTTGTAAGGCAAACACCCTACCCGCTGTGCTATTGCTCCAGCCCCTGAGCATTCTTTTTTGGTGATGTTGCTTGGGGCGCTTACTGCTGGGTGCTTGCAAGGAAAACTTTGTGAATTCTATTCCCTTTGTAGAAACAAAAACTGTGGCTCCATATGCCACGTGTTTGCTCCATCTATCCGGTACCTGGCGACCCCCCTCTTCCCCCCCAGATTTCCTGCTGACCTGACCCAAGGCCAGAAATGGGGTGGGGAAATTAGCTTTCCTGGGCTCGAGTGATAGCACAGTGGGTTTGCCTTGCACGCGGCCGACCCGGGTTCGACTCTCAGCATCCCATAGGGTCCCCCGAGCACTGCCAGGAGTGATTCCTGAGTGCAACGCCAGGAGTAACCCCTGAGCATCGCCAGGTGTGACCTGAAAAGGGGGGGGGGGAAAAAAAAGAAAGAAAGAAAGAAGAACTTTCCTGACCAGAATGTGCCTGGCCAGGAATATTTGGAGTCTGGCCCTTTAAAACTCGGACCGGAAGTGCGGGTGACGTCACGCAGCCCTTTCTCCTGGGGTCGTTGCGGTAACGGAATTTCCAGTCGGCCGCCATTCTTGGAGCCTGCGGAATAGGGTAGGAGCGGGGAAGGGGCGACCCAGGGCGGACTGGGGGTCTCAGGGGAGGGGGGTCTCGGGGTTCCCGGTTCCCTCGCCAACCCCCGAGTGGTCGCTCTTCGCGCCCGAGGACTCCGCGGCCTCCGCCCTGAGAGCGACACGATCGCCCCGTGCGGGTGGCCCCGGGGTGGCGGCCCCGCGCCCGGGGACCCACCAGGTTTTTATCTCCCCTATTGATTTTTTTTTTTTTAGGGAAACAAAGATTTTTGCTAAAAAAAAAAGACTTAATTTCGAAAAGATTCAGAACCGGGGACGCTCGCCCCGCGGGGAGGACTCGGACCGCGCCCGGCTTGGGGGGGGGCTCAGACTCCCCCTCCCGGGGGTCTCAGAGACCCCCCCTGGGGTGTCGGGACGCGAGGCCGAGCAGCGCGCCCCCGACTCTTCAACCGCTCTGGCCCCCGGCCAGAGCGAAAGTGAGAGGGAGGCTCGTTCCGCCCCCGCCCCCGCAGGCCGAGGGCGCATGCGCAGTGCCGCACCGTTGGTTCCCTGCAGAGACTCTCCGAGCTGGGGGAGGGGGGCGGGGCGGTCACAAGGCAGGGGGCTGGGGATCGCGCCAGGATTGTTCCCAGGCCGGTCCTTATTCATTCATTAGGGTACTTATGAGGGAGTCAGGGCTACCGGGTCCGTTTCCCTGGAAAGTGGGGGAAGGAGTTTTTTTTTTTTTTTAATTAAAAATCAATGTTTGGGCTGGAACGATGGCACAGCGGGTAGGGCCTTTGCCTTGCACGCGGACGGATTCCCAACATCCCATATGGTCCCCAGAGCACCGCTGGGAGTGATTCCTGAGTGCAAAACCAGGAGGAGCCCCTGGGCATCGCCGGATCGCCGGGTGTGACCCGAAAAGCAAAAAATAAATGAATAAATTAAAAATAATGTTTCTCTCTCTCTCTTTTTTTTTTTTTTTTTTTTTTTTGCTTTTTGGGTCACACCCGGCGATGCCCAGGGGTTATTCCTGGCTCATGCACTCAGGAATTACTCCTGGCGGTGCTCAGGGGACCCTAAGGTATGCTGGGAATGGAGCCCGGGTCGGCTGCGTGCAAGGCAAACGCCCTACCCGCTGTGCTATCGCTCCAGCCCTACGTTTCATTATTTTTATTTATTTTTTATTAGTGAAACACCATGAGGTACAGTTGTAGACTTACAATTTTTTGTGCTTGGGTTTCAGTTACACAATGATCAAGTACCCATCCCTCCACCAGCGCCCATCCTCCACCACCACGGGTCCCAGCATCCCTCCCAACCCCCATCCCTCCATCCCACCCGGCCTTTGGCAGAGCATTCCCTTTTGTTCTCTCTCCCTCCTTTTGGGTCCTGTGGTCTGCAAGAGAGGCATTGAGTGGCAATCATGTTTGTTCTCTAGTCTACTTTCAGCATGCTTCTCCCATCCTGGGAGGATCCTCCCAACACCCTTTATTTGGTGCTCCTTTCTCTATCTGAGCTCCCTTTTCCCCTAGCACGTGTGGCTGGCCTCCAAGTCACGGAGCAAAATTCCTGGTACTAATCTCGGCCACTCCTGGTGTTAGTCTCCCATTTTGTTGCTTTTATGTTCCCCAGATGAATGCAATCTTTCTGTGTCTGTCCCGCTCTTTCTGACTCATTTCGCTTAACATGATACTTTCCATGTAATACCACTTGTATGTAAATTTCATGACTTCATCTTTTCTAACAGCTACATAGTACTGCATTGTGTAATTGTACCAGTTTCTTTAACCAGTCGTCTGTTCTTGGGCACTCCGGTTTTTCCAGATTCTGGCTATTGTAAAGAGTGCTGCAATGAACAAACCAGTGCAGATGTCACTTCAACTGTACTTTTTTTTTTTGCCTCTCTGGGATATATTCCCAGGAGTGGTATTGCTGGGTCAAATGGGAGATCAAATTCTAATTTTTTGAGAATCATCCATACTGTTTTCCAAAAGGGTTGGACCAGTCGGCATTCCCACCAGCAGTGAAGGAGGGTCCCTTTCTCACCACATCCGTGCCAGCACCAATTGCTTTTGTTCTTTTGAATGTGGGCCAGACTCTGTGGTGTGAAATGATATCTCATTGTTGTTTTGATCAGCATCTCCCTGATGATTAATAATTTGGAGCATTTCCTCATGTGCCTTTTAGCCATTTGGATTTCTTCTTTGCGAAAGTTTCTGTTCATTTCCTCGCCATTCTCATTCTCCTAAAGAGCCTTGAATATAATCTCAGGGCTAGGATGAAAGAGACGTTACTGGGGCCTGCTCGAGGCAATCGACGAATAACAGGATGATGAAATGGAATGAAAAATTATTGTTTTGTTGGGCTGGAGCGATCGCACAGCGGTAGGGCGTTTGCCTTGCGCTCAGGCAGCCCGACTGAGCCAGGTTCAATTCCTCTGCCCCTCTCGGAGAGACTGGCAAGCTACCCGTGGCGTATTCAGTATGCCAAACACAGTAACAACAAGTCTCAAAATGGAGATGTTACTGGGCCTGCTTGAGCAAATCGATGAACAACGGGAGGACAGTGACAGTGATTGTTTTGTTGTTGTTGTTGTTAATTGTAGTTTTGGGGCCACAGCTGGCAAGTGCTCAGGACTCACTCTTGAATCTTAGCTCAGGCATGGCTCCTGGCAGTGTTGCGGTGGGGAAACCTTTGTGCTTTTGCATATTAACTCCGACTCAGCTGCTTGAACGAAGAGCACCCTATCTTCTTACTATCTCTTCTAACTCTGTATGATTTTTTTTCTTCCCAGAAAAAGACTTTGTGCTTCACCTGTCAAGTTCCAGAGCATTCCCTCATTGTCGATTTCTCGCGGACCAGAGGCGCCCCCTTGTGGTCGGGTGAGTACTTGCAGAAACGGGGTTTGCGGGGACCCGTTGTCCCGTTTTAAGTGTCTCACTCTAGGGGCAGGAGCCTTAGGACAGCCAGGTTGGTCTTGCTCAGGACGGACCTGGGTTCAATCCACCTGAACCCCATAGGATTGTCTGAGCATCGAGAGGTGTGGCCCAAGAACCACAAAAGATAATAAAGAAAGAAAAGGCCGGAGCAAGAGGAGAGCAGACAGGGCCCTTGACTTGCATGCGGTCGGGCCGTTCGTTCCCCAGCACTTCAAAGGGTTCCCTGAGCACTCCCGGGTGTCTCCCAGACTTGTTTTTGGCTGTTGTGGCGAAAAAATCCTGCCTCGTTTTTTTTTTTGTTTTCCCATTTTTTGCTACAAATTTGCAGCTGGTCAGGGACTCTGCGCCTCTGTTCATGTGTCTGTCCATGTCTGCTGTGTCCCCCACCAGAAAAGCAGGTGCTCAGCCCTTGGGTCTTTCTCTCCCTGGGTCTATCTCACTACTCAGGAAGCAGATGGATTTGGGACCACACCTGGCAGGCAGTGCTTGAGAGCTGCGTCCTGCTCTGCTCACAGTACCAGTGACAGTGGGTACCAGCGACGGCTCCCAAGCTTCCTTGTGGCCAGCATTCATTCCAGCCTGGTGTGCTCTCCTCCCCCTCTGTTCATACCTTCATTGGAAGTTCTTAGATGTGCACGTTCTGGATACGCTCCACAAGAGTTTGTCAGGAGGAAATGAAGGAGTTGGAGTCTCTGAGCAAAATTATTAGACTTTCATCATTTGGATTTCTTTTGGGCCAAATGTACTGGCCCCGCTATTTTTCTTACGCAAGATCACATAACTGAATGAGTAAAATGGCCTACTCAGGGCCGGAATAATAGCACGGCGGGTAGGGCATTTGCCTTACACACAGCCGACCCAGGTTCGAATCCCAGCATCCCATATGGCCCCCCTAGCACCACCAGGAGTAATTCCAGGAGTGCATGAGCCAGGAGTAACCCCTGTGCAATGCTGGGTGTGACCCAAAAAGAAAAAAAAAATGACATAGTCTGTGAAAACCTGACCTGTAAGTTCTGAGCATCGCAGAGTGTGCCCTCCAAACAAACCAAAGAATTGACCCTTGATATATTCCTGGATATCACACATCACTGTGGTTTGTTTTTGTTTTTGTTTTTTGTGTTTTTCCCCCCTTGCTTTTTGGGTCACACCTGGCAATGCTCAGGGGTTACTCCTGGCTCTGCACTCAGAAATCACTCCTGGCGGTGCTCGGGGATCCATATGGGATGCTGGGAATCGAACCCGGGTCGGCCACGTGCAAGGCAAACGCCCTACCCACTGTGCCCCATTACACATCGCTGTTGGCAGACAATTTCCTCTGTCCCTTTATTGGAGGGGAGGTGAGTGAAGATGTCAAATCCAACGTTGCTCAGGGATCACTGCTTAGGGATTCAGGGTGTGAAGTTGAGTCTGCTGCATGCATGGCAGGTGCCCTGCCCACTGGTCTCTCTTTCTGGCCCCTGCAAACCTTCAAAATTGCAGCCTATGGTTTTGGCTCGGTCTCACCAGGAGCCCTGCCATGGCCTCTACCAGCCGGGCCTTGTCCCACCCTCTTCCGGCATGCCAATCTGTGTGCTTATCACAGAGTACACAGGATTTATATAGAATTTGAATATCTGGGGTCAGAGATAGGCCAGGAGTGCAGGCCCCAGACTTGGAAGCAGCCTGCCACAGTATAATTTGTTCTTTTTTTTTTTTTTTTTGCTTTTTGGGTCACACCCGGCAATGCACAGGGGTTACTCCTGGCTCTGCGCTCAGGAATTACCCCTGGCGGTGCTCAGGGGATCATATGGGATGCTGGGAACTGAACCCGGGTTGGCCGCGTGCAAGGCAAATGCCTTACCCGCTGTGCTATTGCTCCAGCCCCTAATTTGTTCATTTTTCATTGGCGGCCACACCCAGCAATGCTAAAGGGTTACTTCTGGCTCCGCTGATTGATCACCCCTTGGAAGACGAGAGGACCCTTTGGTCTGATTAGGATTGAAACTTGTTTGAAGTACGTGCCACGCAGACACCCCATGCTGTGTGCTATCTCTGTGGCCGTCATAAAAAAGCACTTACTCTGGGGCAATTCCGGAAAGTTTTGATAATAGAGCTCTTTTTTCTATGAAGTACAATCACGATCACGACCATCCTGTTGTTCGTCGGTTGCCTCGAGCAGGCCCCAGTAACGTCTCCTTCGTCCTAGCCCTGAGACTTTTTAAAAAGTGCCATGTTCAAGGCTCTTCCAGGGCTAGGAGAATGAGACCCATCATTGTTACTGGTATTTGGCATATTGGATACGCCACGGGGAGTTTGCCAGACTCTGCCGTGTGGGCAGGTTACATTCGGTAGCCTGCCAGTTTGTCCAAAGTAGGAATGAGATAATAAGATGTTACAATAAGATGTCGCGCAGCCGCATTTGTGGCCACGCGCTTCCGGGAGCTGGGTTTTATAGTTTTATACTATGAAGTACACCACTCACATTTGTGGAGTTTGTTTTGTTTTCGGACCACACCCAGCAGTAGTCTGGGTTTCCTCCTGACTCTGCACGCAGGAATCACTCTTGGTGGGCTTTGGGGCCCATATGGACGTGGAAGGTCAAACCATGGTAGCCGTGTGCAAGGCCAGTCCCCTCCCTTCCCTGGAGCTCTGGCTCCAAGACCTAATTTCCGTCCATTCAGCTATATGTCTGTTCAAATATTATAAAATTTTCCATTGGAGCGATAGCACAGCGGTAGGGCGTTTGCTTTGCACGCAGCCAACATGGCCGACCCGAGTTCGATTCCTCCACCCCTCTCGGAGAGCCCGGCAAGCTACCGAGAGTATTCGATATGCCAGACACAGTAACAACAAAGTCTCCAATGGAGACGTTACTGGGCCCGCTCGAGCAAATTGATGATCAACGGGAGGGCCTTTACTTACTTTTACTTTTCCATTAGAGTGAACTCAAGGGTCCTGAGAAACAGGACAGCAGGTCAGCTGCTTGCTTTACCTCCCCTGAGAGCGATGGGTATCCTGGATTACAATGCACTTCTGTGTCCCTGGGGAGGAAGGAGCATCTGGCACTGTCTTTCTGGGTGGGTCTGTGAGCTGGTACCTGAGGGTGAGGCTGGTCAGAGCCTTCCTGGCTCCTTTCCGGCCCTCCTTTCCGTTCGGGGCCATGAATTGTGCTCCTCTCTGGTGCTCACAGCTCTGACTTCTCTTCCAGGTGATTCCACAGACCCATCTGCTGATCCTCGGGCATTGTAGAAGCTGCCGACGATGGTGATGCTCCATCTGACACGCTGTCCCCAGGTGGGAGGAGAATGATGTGGTTACATGATGCAGTGACAGGCACGCACAGGCTTCCAGGGCCTTCTGTCTCTTGAGTTTCAGGAAGGAGCCTTGGGATGTAGTTCTTGGCCTGAGTGCTTGGACTCTGCTGTTTGAAGCCACTTTGTCCTTATTTGTTTGTTTCCTGATATTCGGGTTTAGCCACACCCAGCAGTGCTTAATGAGTACTTATAACTCAGTGCTCAAGGATCACTCCTGCCAGGGGACCCTATCAGGTGCCATGCATTCAAGACTGACTTCAGTTTCTTTTGTTTTGTGAGGTGATGGGAGGGTCACACCTAGTGATTCTCCAGGATTATTTCTGGCTCTGCACTCGACATTGCACCTGGCAGTGCCTGCAGGACCAGATGGGACAGTGGGGATTGGCAGTCCTGCCCACTGTCCCTGGACCTGCTGTAGTGTAACTCCATCTGCCACTTTGTTATCTATTGTATTTTTTGTTATCCTATAGTGGATGTGGTCAGGGCTTCCTCTCGGCTCTGTGCTCTGCATCACCTCTTGACGGTCATTGGAACCCCCAGGCCCACGTGGCCCTATATGTGACCTGGCAGCTACAATGACTCTGGGCACCGGGATATGTGTTTCCCCTATTGTTTCCTTCCCGCTCAGGAGAGTGTCACCTGCTAGGTCCACACAGTGTCATGCTGCTCTGTGCACAATTTCAGGCATAAGCCTTTCCCAGGAAGACAGAGCAAAGGATATCTGGGACCCTCAGAGATGTTGAAGGTCAGCGCCCCACATGCTGTTCTATCATTCAGGTTCCTCTAAATCGTTCCTTCCAGGGGCCGGAGTGATAGCACAGCGGGTAGGGCATTTGCCTTGCACGTGGTTGACCCAGGTTCGATCCCTGGCATCCCATATGGTCCCCCGAGCACCGCCGGGAGTAATTTCTGAGTGCAAAGCCAGGAGTAACCCCTGAGCATTGCTGGGTATGACCCAAAAAGCAAAAATAAATAAATAGTTCCTTCCATTGCTCAATAAATTTACTCCTTGTATGACCCTTCACTGGAGTGTGTGTGTTTTGGCTTTGCTTTGGATTTTGATTCGGGGCCACAATCCACTTTCCTCCTGGCTCTGTCCTGTAGGATCACTCCTGGCAGTGCTCAGGGACCCCTGCTGTGGACTAAACCGGGTCAGCACCTGTAGGATTACATTGGTTTGTCCTTTCTCCCTTACCACAGGGAGCTTAGGTTTATCAGGTTATAGTCAACATCGTGCTCCTGAGTCACTCCCATTTCTCTGTGCTTACCTGTAAATTCTCTGTGATCTTCCCCATCCGGTCTGTTACCTCTTTCCCTAATCAGACTCTTATAAGGTCAGATCCTTCTAAGGGTATTGGAGTTGTATTCATGTATTTTCTCTTTATGTCTTTTGCATAGTTTAAAGCAGTGTCCTTTTTGTATAGACACAGGAAGACAGTTAATATTATGCTTTTGTAACTTGGAAGTTAATTGACTCTGAATAATCATCACTCCCAGGCATCTGCTTTCTCGACTTAAGCCTCAGTTGTCCTTCGTTCCTAGCACCCCAAAAGCAGGGTCCCGACGGGCATCAAAATGGGCCAGGGCAAAGCACCACAATACTTAACTATAAGTGAAGAGCATAGTCAGGGACAAATTCTGTCATGATCCAAAACTAATGACAAGATTAAGACCCTACTAGGGTTAGGAAAGACTAAGCTGGCCTGAGCACTGTAGTCTGAGATCTATAGCGAGATAGCCCCAGGAGAGCAGTCCTATAAGCTTAAGTTACCTCTTACTGTGTCCATACATGATTATTGTATGGACAATTGTATTGTTGTATTTCAGTAATTGGAAGCACTTCCAGTGTGGGGTGGGGTTGGGGGTATGTCATCATGATTCAATTGCAGACTGAAATTACTGAAATTAAAACCTGCGACTAAGGTCGCTGATAACCACCAATTGGGGCATATCAGAAGTGGAGTTTCTGTTCAGGCCTTTTCAGGAATTTGCCTGATTTTTTTTTTTTTTTTGGTACTCATGGGGTTGGCTTATCACTAATACCCTTTCTCTGTGAGGACAGGGCTTTCCGGAGTGAAGCCTGAGGTGATCTCCTGGCTGGAAGGAAGATACCTGAGGACTGGAGGAGAGGTGTGTGTGCAGGTGAGTGTCCGAGGACCACCCCTGGCTTGGACCCTCGGTGGTGTGGGGGTGCCCTGAGTTCATGTGAAATATGCAGACCCCAGAGGCCTCGGGCTCCTGGATGCAGGCGTCTGCCACACTCACGCTGCCCTTCACTTCATGAACTGCCTGTCATGGAATGATCCTACGCTTCTCTTTCTTGTCATTGTCATCATTATTCATTCTCTGACAGGCAGGTAGAATATTCTTGGGATTCACAGCCCTTGGCTTCACCAATCCCTCGTACATCTTTCAGTGACGGTGTTCCCTTTCAGGAGCTCTCTTTAATGCTGATTTTCCCCCTCAGATCATTAGCATGTTTTGTCAGTATATTAACAAATTTTTGGTTTTGGTTTTGGGCCGGGAATTTTCAGTATTTATTGCTGGCAGTTCTCAGAGGTTACTTTTGGTGGTACTCAAGTATCAGCTGTCAGCTTCATGCAAAGCAAATGCCTCCCTTGCTGTTCTCTATCTAATCCACTAAGAAAGCTTTTGCTTTTCTGTTTTCATAGCGAATGCATGAGCCTATAACAAAGCTGATTTGAGCTGAAGAGGTAGTACAGCAGGGAGGGCCGTTGCCTTGCACATGGCAGACCCAGGTTGAATCCGTGGCATCCCATATGGCCCTCACATATCACCAGGTCTGGTTAAAAAAAACAAAACCCAGAAGCTATTTTGTGGATTCCCAGGCTGCTCCCAGCATTCCCCACAATGGACCTCATTCAACTACGTTCCATTACTACATTGTGTTTTGTGTTTGTTTTCAGAAGTTAAATCACATCTCCAGGAGTTTTCTCTGAAGCAATTTGATTTGGGAATTGGGTCTGCGAATACGAGTGAGTTGGTAAGATTTGCACGTTTCATATAAATATTCTGTAGGCGGTGTAATTCAGACGAAGAAGTATGCAACTTGAAAGGTGGCGTTCTGACCACTGAGGGGAGGAGCTTTGCAGGCTAATGCCGGGAGTAGAGGGTCCGTAGACTCACAGGGTGCTAAAATCAGTCATTTAAAAATCTAAAGATGGGGGCTGGAACACTACGACAGCGGATAGGGCATTTGCCTTGCACACAGCTGACCCTGTTTTGATTTTCAGCACCCCACATAGTCCCCTGCGCACCGCCAGGAGTAATTCCTCAGTGCAGAGCCAGGAGTAACCCCTGTGCATCGCTGAGTGTGACTCAAAAAGCAAAAAAAATATAAAAAATAAAATCTAAAGGTATTCCTGTGGTTGTCATTATTATTAGTATTACTATTTCTTTTTCATTCACACACAGCAATGCTGATAGGTTACTTCTGGCTCTGCACTCAGGAATTATTCCTGGAAGTGTTCAGGGTACCATGTGGGATGCCAGGGATCAAACGGAGTCCACCACATGCACTGGAAATGCTCTCCCCACTGTCCTAGCATTCCAACCCCTATTCCTGCTATCTTGAATTTCGAGGAAGTACTGTGATTTTCCACTGGATCCAAAGTAAGCACAAGTTAATTATTTCAAAGGCCTACTTTGTTGCCACAAGTGATAGTGCATTGAAGTGGACTTCCTTTCTACAAGGATGGAAATCTGGGCCACATCTCCAGCACCGCTTGGTGTGTCCCACCTCAAAATAAATATAAATTGGAAAACAAAATGGGGGGGGGGGGGACGAATTTATCCTAAAGAGGATTCATTCGTGGTGAGATGTTTTCAGTGAACCTCGTACTCCATCTTGGCTGGGTAGGGTTGTAGCTTGCCTTAAGACATGCTTCAAGGACTCTACACCAAGCTACAACCATCCCAGAATCAGTTGTTTTTTATTTTGCTTGAAACTGCTTTTTCAGTATTCTGCAGACAGCCTGATGTCTATTTTATGTATCTATTCATTGAGTTAAAAAAGTAAACAAATTAATGTTTGCACATCCTTCAATCCTGTACATCCACCATGTAGAAACATTGGGACGTTCCATGGAAAAGCCATCCACGTGCCAGGCATGGCATTCCTTGTGGTGGGAATGTTAGAAACCCACCTGCAGGCCTCAGTTACTTTTGACAGGGAAACTCTTCAGGGATGGAGCAATAATTGGAATCCTTCTCTGCATTGTACAGGGAAGCAGCCAGCCCTGGTGGAATGTCTCTGATCCTGCGCTCTGTGACAATGTCTCGAGTGAGCAGTCCCACCCTCTTCCCCCTGGGGATGCCGAGACAGGCAGGATGTCTTCTGAGGGTGATCAGAATGGAGAGAGCGACCTCATTCTGAAGAAGCCCTCCCCTGAGAAAAATCTCCTTCCAGTCTGTCGTCCTCAGTTTTGGGAAACAAACCCCCCCCCCCCCCCCCCCAAGATGCAGCCCCAGGACTGTGGGAGAGGATCACCATTGGTAGTGAGTTCCTCACGCCAACAGTCACACAAGCAAATTCACCATGGACTGACCCCATCCGGGAGTAAGGAATATGGAGGAGTCTTGCGCCCGTTTCCTCGGCATAGAGATGTTCCCTTAGGAAGCCACTGTGGACAGAATCCCCAGGACTATTACCGGGGAGAGCACACTTTGAGTCAGGGGTCATCCCAGTTTGACATGCCGAAGATGCAAACTGGAAACAGACTGTTCATGTGGATGTATTATAGGAAATCCCTCGTTTCCCCCTCAAAACGTATTATACACAGGAGACTTAATACTGCAAAGAAACGCCGCGTGTGTGAGGAATGTGGACAGGCCTTTACCCTGTCCACACAACTTAGCGTCCACAGGAAAATTCATACAAGAATGAAAACGTACTCGTGTCAGGACTGTGAGAAGCTCTTCACTTGCTACTCCAACCTTTCTTGTCACGGGAAGACTCCTTCTGGAGAGAGACCGTTTTTATGTCAGGACTGTCGGATGGTCTTTGCTCATTGCTCAAGCCTTCCTGAGCAGGACAGTCACACCGGAGAGAAACGGTGTGTCTGTGAGGAATGCGGGAAGACCTTTTATTATCCCTCAAGCCTTTTGTATCACGCAAGAATTCATGCTGGGGGCACGGCTTATATATGTCAGGAGTGTGGGAAGGCCTTTAGCATATCCTCAATGCTCACTGTCCATGGAAGAACTTATTTGGGAGAGAAGCCTTTTGTGTGTGAGGAGTGTAAAAATACCTTTAGCACCTCCTCAGTGCTTACTAGAGATCTGAGATATTACTCTGTAGATAGACCTTATGTATGTAAGGTATGTGGAAAGGCCTGCAGTCAACAGTCAGGCCTGACCGAGCATATGAGAACGCATACTGGAGAGAAGCCTTACGTGTGTCTGGAGTGTGGGAAGGCCTTCAGCTCCTCCTCAGTGCTCACCGTACATAGGCGAACGCACTCGGGAGAGAAACCTTTCGTATGTCAGGAGTGTGGGCGGGGCTTCAGCACATCCTCACATCTTACTGTCCATAGGAGAGTTCACACTGGAGAGAAACCGTACAAGTGTGAGGCATGCGGGAAGGCCTTCGTTCAGCGGTCAAACCTAAAACACCATATTAATATTCACACTGGAGAAAAGCCTTACGTGTGTCATGAGTGTGGGAAGGGCTTTAGCACACCCTCCAATCTCACTGCACATAGGAGAATTCACACTGGAGACAAACCTTATAACTGTAAGGTCTGTGAAAAGGCCTTCACTCATTCCACACACCTTAGAATCCATATGATGACTCATACTGGAGAGAAGCCTTATGTTTGTAACGTATGCGGGAAGGCCTTCACCAAGAACTCAGCCCTGAGTAGGCACGTGAAAATACATGGTGGTGAGAACACTTTAAATGTGTACAGAATGATAAGACCTTCCTATTCCCCGGAAGCCTTAGAAAACATAGTGTCATTCATACTGGATGACTCCATCTCCTCATGATGGTCCCCCAAGTTCAGAAATAACCCCCTTCCATAAAAGAAAGTTTTGCTTTGGACTAGGTTGCAAAAGTGCAGTCAAGAAAGAACCCTGGTAGCATATGACAGGTTTTTGGTGACTTCAGTACTATGAGGGAAAGGCAGTTAATGATTACACATGCCTTGGCATGGTAATGATCCCCATTAGCTATGCCAGCGTCCCGACATTCGGACTTGATGTGTATGTTAACTTGTAAATAATGACTCTTTTGGTGATGGAGTCCAGGTGGAAATTGATTAAATAGGAATTAAGTAAAAGGGTACCAAGACCACCCCTCGATCACAGCTGTCAGCGTCTCTTTTTTGAGGGGGGTCACACCCGGCGATGCACAGGGGTTCCTCCTGGCTCTGCACTCAGGAGTTACTCCTGGTGGTGCTTGGGGAACCATATCGATTGGTGAAAAATCGAACCCAGGTCGGCTGCTTGCAACGCTAACACCCTACCCCATGTGCTATCACTTCAGCCCAGTGTCTCATTTTTTTGCTTGGACTCTGGCTTGATTCAGAAGCCCTGGTTTGCGGGGTTTATTGTAGAGATCAATCAGGATGTTGCAGTGAATCCTTTGGAATGGGAAAACAGGCCAGCTTCCTGTTATGGAAAGCTGTTCCTTCCAGCTTTCAGGCCCTCCTCGTTATCTTTTGAGGATTCGCACCTGATTTGTTCAGGCCATACTCTTGGCTGTGAGCTCATCCATACCTTCCAGGGAGGACACAGGTATTACGGTGATCTTGGCTTCGAATCCAGATCAGTCTTCTGCAATCAAGCACCTAACCGCTGTATCAACTCTGCACTCCTTGTATTCAGATTTTTATTAGAGTTACCTAAGCATTGAGGATAAATATTTCTGGAAAGTTTAGGATAATGGCCCTGTCAGTGTTCTTTAATAGGGTGGATTGGAGACAGTTGAAATGGACTTGACTGTGCATAGAAAGATTTCTGCTGGTTCTATAAAAGGATGAAACAGGCCCCGGGAGCAAAAAGGTTTTACAAATGGTGGGAACTTGGAGAGCGCCCAAACTCCCGTCTCAGCAGGGAATAGCATCAGTTGTGATGACTGACCATAAAGGGTGGACACATTGCTGGATTTCACCCTCCTCATTTCAGTAATATTAGGAGAAAAGAAGACAAAACAGTTGCATTTGGAAGCGGTATAATCTCAACTCTTACTAGACACCAGAATGATTCAAACCGTTGTTGGTCTGTCCGGATGACCAAGTCTACAAAATAATCTGGTGCGGTTTGAAGTATGTTTTGTTTTATTTATACCTACTTGGCAGTTCTTAGGAGTTTGCCCTGGCATTGTTCTGGATGCCAGGGATGGTTCTTGACTGTCCCGACCCTCCCAAGGAGAGGTTGTGCCGGGCTCTGTCCTGCAGCTTTTGGTGTAGACATGCGTATGTAAAACTACCAGATCACTTTGAGGGGCAGTTCCTCAGCCCCCGGTGGCCAGAGACCTGTTGAAGCTCATCTTTTTCATTGGTAGCCGCCAGGAGGAGTCCTGAGGTCATGGTCCTAGGAGATGTGCTTTGGGTTTGTAAATGAATATTTTCATTTTTTTTTAATTTTTTGTGGGGGGATGGGCCCGCTTGTAGTTCCCCAGAGGTTGTTTCTATCAGTGATCATGATTTTATATGGGATGCCGAGGATTGATCATTGTCACTAAGGGAAGCACTGGATTCTCTTAACTGTCTCTCCAGCGTCACTTTGGTGTCTTTCTTGATAAAGAATTTCTGTTCCCTCAAGTTGAAAAGCATCTCTTGATTCTTCTTTAGCTCCCTGACCCTGACCAGGCAAACCCCTGGAAGTTGGGGTGAATATTGTGTGCAAATGGGGTTATTTTTCAAGCAAGGTAGTTGGCCTTTTTAAATATCTTTATTTTATATGGTAGTTCACTATATTTGATTACATTCAATATTCAAACACCAATCCCAGGTAGTGGGGGTTTTTTGGGGGGGAGGAGCTATTTGTTTAGGGATCACTCCTGCTGTGTTGAAAAGAAATTTATTTAGAAAGGGCCAGAGTGGTAGTGCAGCAGGGAAGCCTCTTACCTTGCACAAGGCCAACCCAGATTCAACTCCTGGAATTTCAAACAGTCCCCCAAGCTGTGAGTGATCCCTGAGTGCCAAGTTTGAATAAGCCCTGAGCACCACCTGTTTTGACTCAAAAATCAAAACACACACACAAACACACACATGATAATTTTGTGAGCAGAACGAGGCTAAAGGTTCATGCTGAGTCCCTGTGGCTGCCCCATGGCAGAACCACTTTGGGGGCTATGGTCTCTGTGGGCAGTCTTGAAGCTCAGGGGTGCTTAATCAGAAGAGCTCTTGGCCTAGGTGGAAGCCCCTGGCTGGGCCCATAAGGACCCCCTTGGGACCCAGGGAAGAGTCCCAGATCTCAATGCTGCAATATTCTCTCCTGTACACGAAGCCCATCACTCCTGTCCTGACAGACTTGCCCGAATTCCCGCCTGCTGTGCATCCCCAGGAGAGGACGGAACCTCTGACAGTGTCTTCCCCAGGTGGGGTGTGACCTGATGTGGGAGGCTGCCTGCCACCAGGACATTTCTGGGTCCAAGGCAGGGACTTCCCAGGTCAGGGCTAGAGGTGTGTCCTCTCTCTGCTCACAGCTCTGATTTCTCCTCCAAGTCTTGGTTTTGGAATCTGATTCTTACCCTTGGGAATAACAGGCCGGATGAGACGATGCTGAGGCTTGGTCCTGGAAGTGGTTTGCATGAAATCTCTGTGAATTTTACTCTTTTCATGAAAAACATAACGACTTTCTGCTGCATATGCCGTCTGTTCAGTCCCTCGCTCTCCATTCATCCCGAACTTGGTGACCCCAGATTTGCTGATCACCTGACTGAAGGCAAAAAAAAAAAAACAGAATAAAAACATTTACATTCCTGACCAGAGTCTCTTGCTCCAACGAGACCCCGAGATGCCACCTACGAACTACTTCCCAGCTACTTATCAAGCTCCTTAATGGCCATCATCCCAGAGACACAAACAAATCTCGGAACTGAGCAGCTCTTGGTAGAAATCCCTCCAGACCTAACTATTAAAATTTTAAAGTTTCAAGATCGCGCGGCCGCAAGCCATCATTTGCTATTCATAACCAGCAATAGAAAACAAATTTGTCTAATGTTGCCTCTTTGGAAGGTTTGAGTGTTGGAAGAAAATTCCAAATAATAATGTTGGGACTGGTGTTAAAATACTGGATGTAATGTAAGTAGAGAGAGAGAGTAATGTGGAAATTATTTGTCACACAGGCAGGGGAAGGGGTGGGGGGGTGGGGTCTACTGGCATTGTTGGTGGTGGAGAATGTGCACTGATGAAGGGATGGGTGTTTGATCATTGTATGACCGAGACTCAAACATGAAAGCTTTGTAACTGTCCTTACGGTGATTCA